GGTCGTCACTACAAACCTAGCAGTGGTGGTCGTCACTACAAACCTAGCGTGGTGGTCGTCACTACAAACCTAGCTGTGGTGGTCGTCACTACAACCTAGCAGTGGTGGTCGTCACTACAAACCTAGCAGTGGTGGTCGTCACTACAAACCTAGCAGTGGTGGTCGTCACTACAAACCTAGCTGTGGTGGTCGTCACTACAAACCTAGCAGTGGTGGTCGTCACTACAAACCTAGCAGTGGTGGTCGTCACTACAAACCTAGCAGTGTGTGGTCGTCACTACAAACCTAGCAGTGGTGGTCGTCACTACAAACCTAGCAGTGGTGGTCGTCACTACAAACCTAGCGTGTGGTCGTCACTACAAACCTAGCTGTGGTGGTCGTCACTACAAACCTAGCAGTGGTGGTCGTCACTACAAACCTAGCTGTGGTGGTCGTCACTACAAACCTAGCAGTGGTGGTCGTCACTACAAACCTAGCGTGGTGGTCGTCACTACAAACCTAGCTGTGGTGGTCGTCACTACAAACCTAGCAGTGGTGGTCGTCACTACAAACCTAGCTGTGGTGGTCGTCACTACAAACCTAGCAGTGGTGGGTCGTCACTACAAACCAAAGCAGTGGTGGTCGTCACTACAAACCTAGCTGTGGTGGTCGTCACTACAAACCTAGCAGTGGTGGTCGTCACTACAAACCTAGCTGTGGTGGTCGTCACTACAAACCTAGCAGTGGTGGCCGTCACTACAAACCTAGCAGTGGTGGTCGTCACTACAAACCTAGCAGTGGTGGTCGTCACTACAAACCTAGCAGTGGTGGTCGTCACTACAAACCTAGCTGTGGTGGTCGTCACTACAAACCTAGCAGTGGTGGTCGTCACTACAAACCTAGCAGTGGTGGTCGTCACTACAAACCTAGCAGTGGTGGCCCACTTTAATGACCTCGTAATTATGCACGCTCAGGACCCCCTAATTTAACCTCCTCCGCGTTTAACCAACCAAAAATAACTTCCATCCTCATTTGAAGCCACTTAAGTGGAATTATCTCCTCCTTGCTGCTGCTAAGTTGACTCAAACTTCACTCTCCTTCGCGATTATTAAATTACCCAGACTTAATTTGCAGTGTGATACAGGTGTAATCCCTTCAAGGGTAAGGGGGAGCGGGATCCTTGATACTGGCGAAGAGCTCTTGTTCCAAGGAATTGGGGATACTCCACTTGAATTAAACCTAATTACTTATCATTTTTCATGAGCTGTATGGCCCCAGTGGTTTAGCGCTTTCAGACAATAACAATACAAAACAATAATAATACAAAAATAACAGTACAAAACAAATAATAATAATAATAATAATAATAATAATAATAATAATAATAATAATAATAACGATATTACAGCGTTTGAGTGGTGCTTGATTCACGACGGTATGTTTTTTTTTCACCGGTCGAAAGCTTAGTGAGTAGAGGTTAATGCTGTTTAAGTGTGTACAGAAGCTGGCTTGATCTAGGTGCATCTAGATATGTACAGAGGCTCGTTCTATAGTATCATGTTGAGTCATATTTAACATCACCTAAAGTTTTACTTCATCTGAAAAATACAAGAATTTTACACACACACACACACACACACACACACATATATATGCACACACACACACACACACACCCATATATATATATACACACATACACACACATACACACACACACACACACACACACACACACACACACACACACAAAAAAAAAAAAAAACTGGAGGACCAAGCAGGGATAACAGGGAAGTGCACTACAATGGATCAGGGAATACTTGTCAGGAAGACAGCAGCGAGTCATGGTACGTGGCGAGGTGTCAGAGTGGGCACCTCGATGCCCAGCGGGGTCCCGCAGGGGTCAGTCCTAGGACCAGTGCTGTTTCTGGTATTTGTGAACGAACATGACGGAAGGAATAGACTCTGAGGTGTCCCTGTTTTGCAGATGACGTGAAGTTGATGAGAAGAATACAACTCGATCGAAGACCAGGCAGAACTACAAAGGGATCTGGACAGGCTGCAGAACTGGTCCAGCAATTGGCTCTGGAGTTCAATCCACCAAGTGCAAAGTCATGAAGATTGGGGAAGGGCAAAGAAGGCCGCAGGGCGGAGTACAGTCTAGGGGGTCAGAGACTACAAACCTCACTCAAGGAAAAAGATCTTGGGGTGAGTATAACACCAGGCACATCTCCTGAAGCGCACAATCAACCAAATAACTGCTGCAGCATATGGGCGCACTAGCAAACCTCAGAACAGCATTCCGACATCTTAATAAGGAATCGTTCAGGACCCTGTACACCGTATACGTTAGGCCCATATTGGAGTATGCGGCACCAGTTTGGAACCCACACCTAGCCAAGCACGTAAAGAAACTAGAGAAAGTGCAAAGGTTTGCAACAAAACTAGTCCCAGAGCTAAGAGGTATGTCCTACGAGGAGAGGTTAAGGGAAATCAACCTGACGACACTGGAGGACAGGAGAGATAGGGGGACATGATAACAACATACAAAATACTGAAGAGGAATTGACAAGGTGGACAAAGACAGGATGTTCCAGAGATTGGACACAGTAACAAGGGGACACAGTTGGAAGCTAAAGACACAGATGAAATCACAGGGATGTTAGGAAGTATTTCTTCAGCCACGAGAGTAGTCAGTAAGTGGAATAGTTTGGGAAGCGATGTAGTGGAGGCAGGATCCATACATAGCTTTAAGCAGAGGTATGATAAAGCTCACGGCTCAGGGAGAGTGACCTAGTAGCGATCAGTGAAGAGGCGGGGCCAGGGCTCGGACTCGACCCCCGCAACCTCAACTAGGTGAGTACAACTAGGTGAGTACACACACACACACACACCACACACAAACACACTTATACAACAGGCCTAGTGTCTAACCGACATGGACAAAATGGTAACTAACACACACACACGCATAATATTATATATAATATATATATATATATATATATATATATATATATATATATTTTATATATATATATATATTATATATATATATATATATATATATTCTTCAAGCTTGGAATATGTAAAGTCGTGCAGCGGCCTGAAAAATAAGAGGCAATTAGGTTTGATCCAAGGAATTAGAGGGTAGGTCCAGTTCCTTGGATAAAGAGCACCAACTATCACTATACGATTTTCACCCTTATTTTATCCAAGACATTGAAACTACTCTTCTTTTCCTCGAATCAAACCTATTACCTTCCATTTCCCTAGGCGCTGTATGACTTTTGGTTAGCGTATGACTCCTGCTGAAACAGCGCTTACAAATGATTATATTTTAATTTTCACTGCCTACTAATGCTTGAGTGGTACTCAAGAATACAACTGAGACAGTCGTCAGTGAGCTTCAGCTGTCCCTTGAGTAGCAAGTAAGAATACCCTGAGTTAAGTTGGGAGTTTAGCTGTGCTGGGAACTGCCAGGTATGATTAGTTGGGCTGAGGTAATCCCTAGCTGCTGGCCCTCGTAGATAGTGCCACGGTGTGGACCTGAGGTGCCAGGAGTACCTGGGTGCCTGCCTCCCCTCTGATTATCATAGTCCTGGCAATGTTGATGTGATGGCTCAGTTTATTAGTTTATTATATTATATATATATATATATATATATTATATATATATATATATATATATATTATATATATATATATATATATATATATATAATATATATATATCCAGCTCTGAGGAGCTGGATGAGATTTTCGCCTTATAATCGGTGATACACACGTAACAACATGTACCTTATATGCCACCTTTATATCAACAATGTATCTCTTAAATCTTCTGTACCATATTATGTAATAAAATATTCCTATTGGTAATATATATATATATATATATATATATATATATATATTGGGGTGGTAGGGGAAGTGGAATATTCAAACGGCTTCAGGAAGAAACCCAAATATTCTTCCTTAAAGCCTTTATATATATATATATATATATATATATATTATATATATATTATATATATATATATATATATATATGCGTATGTGTGTGTGTATTTTCCTGTGTCAACTGAATTATTGTATTAAGTGTTCGAGGCATAGTGTCTTGATCAAACCTCTTAAGTCACATCGACTTTCTGAAATGATTTCTTGATGTCCGTCTGTCAGTATGGTTGTTCGTGAATTCTTAATCGCCAAAAACATATTTTCTAAAGTAAAAAGTCATAATCATCATCATTCCGTCGTGATGCCGCCGCCGCCTCCAAGACAGCCTAGTATTAAGGAGTTTCGATAACCTTTAATGATTATTTATAATGAGTAAGAAACAAACCCATGAATCTGAGGACGAACTGAATGTATTATTTGGATTTATGTTTTGTAACTGGGTCAAAAATAATTGCGTTATAAGTATTAAATACAGGAGTAAAATGTAAATGTAAGGGAGGTAAAGAAATGTTAAATTATTTTTCAGCTAAGACACTAAAAAAAAAGATATCCATTCTATATATTCAACGACAATAAATCACTAAATTATATATTATATGATTTAATGATATCTACCTCAGGAATGAGATAGAACATACCGCCATCTTGGTTTAACATTACCGCATTTTGAAAGGTAGACTGTGTTTCTCTAACTCTTTCTCACTTTCCCATGATAACTGCCCTTTCAATTTAAGACGAAATTTACGAGCATTAACTAAGTAATCAAAACTAATTTAGCCCACTGCTGCTGCTGTGTGTCTAGGAGTGAACAGGTAAATCGAACGTTGCCGCCTACACCTACTTCTCTTTTAAACTCTAAAGCCACTATAGTGTCTAATCCAGCGAACATTTTATCAATCCTTTGCTAACTCCTAAATATTGCACGAAGTGATGCTAGGTGATACCATTACTAATTACACAAGTGTGAATATAAATGCGTGGAAAATGAATGAATGTAACGCAATTTGCAACTGGTGGTTAAGGTGTTCCGATCAGTTGTTTGTATCAGTGGCGACCTCGACGCCGGTCAGCCAGGCAGTAACCACGTTAACACCTTTTATTTTGTGTTTACCATAGTGATTTCGTGGTATTGACGCTGTAGAATGTGACACTAACTCAGTACAAATGTTGTAGACACGTGTGTGGTGAATGCAATATTGCAGATTAAACAGAGAGTGGCAATAGGCTTTGTTGAGATAATTTTGGGGAGAGTCACACTGGGAGGAAACTCAATAGTGGAATTTCTAGGTATGTTTGTGTTCTTTGTTTTCCTTTACTTAAATATATTTGTTTCCAAGAACAGAGTTTAATTTGAAAGCGGAGTTATTTTTTTATTCATTGGTGTAGACTTTTATTTTTGCTGGAAATAGTGTTTTTTCTTTTACTTAGGATGCTCTTCAAGGGTGGGGTGGGGGACGTTGATGTTCGTGAAGGGCTTTTGATCCAAAGAATCCATTGAAGGGGTGCTGGTGAATGGTTCTTGATCCCATGAATTGGTGCTGTTGAATGACACTTGATACAGTGAATTGATGCTGGTGAATGGCTCTTGATAGTGATGCTGGTGAATGGTTCTTGATACAGTGATGCTGGTGAATGGCTCTTGATACAGTGATGCTGGTGAATGGCTCTTGATACAGTGATGCTGGTGAATGGCTTTGATACAGTGATGCTGGTGAATGGCTCTTGATACAGTGATGCTGGTGAATGGCTCTTGATACAGTGATGCTGGTGAATGGCTCTTGATACAGTGATGCTGGTGAATGGCTTGATACAGTGATGCTGGTGAATGGCTTGATACAGTGATGCTGGTGAATGGCTTGATACAGTGATGCTGGTGAATGGCTCTTGATACAGTGATGCTGGTGAATGGCTCTTGATCAGTGATGCTGGTGAATGGGCTTGATACAGTGATGCTGGTGAATGGCTCTTGATACAGTGATGCTGGTGAATGGCTTGATACAGTGATGCTGGTGAATGGCTCTTGATACAGTGATGCTGGTGAATGGCTCTTGATACAGTGATGCTGGTGAATGGCTTTGATACAGTGAATGCTGGTGAATGGCTCTTGATACAGTGATGCTGGTGAATGGCTCTTGATACAGTGATGCTGGTGAATGGCTCTTGATACAGTGATGCTGGTGAATGGCTCTTGATACAGTGATGCTGGTGAATGGCTCTTGATACAGTGATGCTGGTGAATGGCTCTTGATACAGTGGTGCTGGTGAATGGCTTGATACAGTGATGCTGGTGAATGGCTCTTGATACAGTGATGCTGGTGAATGGCTCTTGATACAGTGATGCTGGTGAATGGCTCTTGATACAGTGATGCTGGTGAATGGCTCTTGATAGTGATTGCCTGTGAATGGCTTCTGTGATTACAGTGGTGCTGTGTGAAATGGCTCTTGATCAGTGATTTCTGAGGAATGTTGCCATGGTGCTGGAATGGTTCTGATCAGTGATCCTTACAGGATGGGGGAGGCGGGGTGTGCGTGTTTTAGCTGTAAATGGTTCATGATTTGAATCCAGTTGATTCCCAAAATTCCCGTGCCTCTTGATGTTAGATTAAATGGTATTGAATCCAGTGAACCTTTCCAAGTAAATAGTATGCCATGTGTTATAGCGTTCTCTATAGTGAATTCTTATGTGATGTTGTGGGAGGGTGGGTTTGTAGCTTTTTTGTGGTTATAAAAGGTCACATGTAAATAATTGAAGTACCTACAAGTATGATCAAACCAATTTTACCCTACGCCTCTTGAGTTTAGCTACTTCTATGATCAGGTAATATTATGCTGCATAAGTCTCCAACCGCTTTTCCACGTATATTCAGTATGACTGTGTGTTTTAGCGCTTACTTTTGGCTATAATAGTAATAATAATAATTTGAATTTCTGCGCAATTCAGTTACTGTAGCTTAATTGTGTGTGTTATTGACAGTATAGGCGAACATTGCTAACATCAAGACAGGTGCTGCTGAGAGTGATGGGATAGTAACGCCAGGTTCATTACCCTCAGACTGTCACATTAAACTTGGATTTGGTTTTAAGTCTACATTAAGGCTTACCTACCGCTATCTCATTTGTCGGAAAATATTTATGGCTGCAATAAATGTTGCTTTTGGCCCCTTTTAACTCTACGTTATTTGTCATGAGTGGAGTGTTGGAAGTGTGATTTTGCTGACTTAAGTTGGTGGAGATTTGCACTTACTGTTGAACTGCCTTTGATTTTCCAATTCATTGTTTCCTTTTAAGCTGCGCGTTTGTATATCAATGCTATTATATACCGACGAGTATACTAATAAGGCAATATGTGGTTTGTGGCATTTTACTGAAACCATTGCGTCCATTATTTAAGTCCATGGTAGACAAAACAATAAAATGCCTTAATTAAATTGCATATTGTCTTAATAATATGTTGAGCGTCTTCTAGACCTGTTATGTCTGATATAAATGTTGCTTCTCTTGTAAACCTAGTGATTGAGGGCTCTTGTACTTAAATTAGAGCTATCCTCCGCTTCCACATATCAAACCTGCTGGATTTCTATTTCTCAGGCGCTGAAGACACTTAAAGAATTAGCGATGTACTTATGACATAAGGAGAATGAGAAAGATACGGATCACAGTTTGATAGCAAAATCTGCAGTCATAACACGGCCAGCGTTACCTAACCCCAAATATGCAGCAGACCTCTTTTTATAAAGAGTGCGATTTTATAGTGAAAGAAAACTTGGAAAATGAACTGAGAATTAAGCTGTAAGCTCTCCTCTCAGTGACGAAATATGTAAATACCCATATCTAGGTTAGTGTTATCTTAATGGAGTATAGATCTACTCTGGCTTCCAACTGCATTTCTAAAGCATTCAAAATCATTATATAACGCAATGTTTCTATTTCAGCTACGAGAGTTCTAAAAAGGGATAAAAAGTATCCAGAGAAAAAAAAAATATATAACATTCATGTTCACAGTATATACTATTTAGTAAATATTACTAAATAGTAAATAGTAATTGAATAAGTCTTGTAACTATTGGTCGAAATCTAGGTCGGGGTTTATAAAGGGTGAAGCATTAGTTATTAATTTTCAGTTCATCCTGCAGCCCAGTAAAGCAGAAAAAAAGAGAATTAATACCGCACAAAATGTTATTTCCACAAAGCTAGTCAACTCACTGCTGTTCCAGAGTTTTAAAATAATTGCAACCAAATAAATATATAAATAATTATGTAACAGGTCATACCCGATACTTAATTGTTAAAATTCAGTATGATTTACCATGAGCATCTCAAGATATATTTAAGATAAAATACTTGTATATATGTCGTGCCGAAGAGGTAAAGCTTGCGATTTTGGATTAAATTGGCTTAGCGCTTCTTTTTTATTTTAATAATAATAATTTGGATTAAATAGCAACGCTCCTCTTGCCGAATAAGGCATGCGATAATTTGTGTATGCAATTATTTCGCCAAAATTATTCTGAACCTAACCAAAAAAATCAATTTCATTGTGTTTATTATTAAATTATTGTAAACTTATCTAAAATGTATTTAATTGGATTAGGTTAAATTAAATTGCGTTTGTTGTGAGGTTAGCTAAGTTTTCTAACGTTATTTTGGTACAAAATTATTAATTTTTACATCAACATAAATGAAAAAATATGTCTTTAAATGTATAAGAAAATTTTAGAAAGGACTTATTTTAAATGAGATCTTGCTACTTGACCAATTTTACCTATTCGACACGATATATATATATATATATATATATATATATATATATATATATATATATATATATGATTAGAATGATAGACAACAAATGGGGTAAAATAAAGACACTAGAGTAAAATTGCATTGCACAACTGAGAACTTATTAAATCTTACATCCTTCAGAAGGGGTGTCTTGATGCTGGTGAATGACACCAGATCCAAGGAATTAAAGCTACCTTCCTCTTCCTTGGATCAGACTTGGTTATCTCCCTTTTCCCAGGTTCTATGACTCCTACGGGTTTTGGTGCTGCGTGAAGATAATTATAATAGTTATTTCTACAAGAACATGTACAAGGTATACAGGCCTAGCAAACATCAATAACATGCTACTACATAGAAAGCCGCTTGTTATATAGAGCATTTCGGGCAAATTAGGTCAGTTGTGTCCCAGGATGCGACCCACGCCAGTCGACTAACACCAGGTACCCATTTTACTGATGGGGGACATAGACAACCAGTGTAAAGAAACACGCCAATTGTTTCTACCCTCGTTGGGAATCGAACCCAGACCCTCGCCGTGTGAAGCAAGAGCTTTAGCCACCAGGCCACGGGGCACAATTCTTCGCTAATTTCAGCATAATTCAAACCTGCCTAGCTGAGCACGCGTCTACTGCACATAACTCGATATAAATTTAAACAAGATTTGCTATCTTGGAAGTAGTCCAAAACTCGTACAGTATAACAGTTTATTAGCATCGAACTTCAGTCGTCGACATTGGATTTCGTTTCACTTATAAATTTTAGTTTGTCCATGTAGTTTTTCTGAAGCAGGACATTTAGTTTTGAGTGCAGAGAGGTAAATCTGTTCATACAAACTGTTGGTGGCGAGAGAATGTCCATAAAAACATTTGACTTCGCAGTCAGGGATGCCTGCGTAGCATTCTTGTAGCTGACAGCCTGGTGGACAGTGTCCCGAACAAGTGTTTTCTATATGGCAAGTGAGAAGCACGTCCATCCCTCCTTAAAAAAAAATGTACATAGATATGTCCTTGGGAAGTGGTGGGTGTGGTTGGTCCCAACAGACAACAAGCAAGTTTTAGTCGTCAGAACGTGATAGGTCTGTGTCAGTTTGATACTTGTGGAATATCGGTAGATATTAAAACGAGTCAAATTAAAAATAATGTTTGACAAATCGATGATAGGAACAGGCTCCAAGTGTATTTTGGAGATTGATATACAGTAAAATGCTGTGTTAGAGAACTATATTACGTAATTTCCCTGGTCTCTCTTATAGTAGAAAATTTGTAATCAGTTCTGAGGGATAATGTAACTAATAAATGAATATGTAGTTTTTGGTTAATGTTTTTTACCAAAAGTTTTATATTGGTGAAGTTAATTAACAATTTCAGTGGTAATTATAAAAAATATGAATTAAATATCAAAGAATTGAATAAAATTGTAAAAAAATAATGTACCTAATGGTAGTAGAGTTTAGAAGAGATTGATGTAGATTGCCAAAGTGCACTCTCAATACGAGTGAGAGAAGCGAAGCAATTCAAACGGATGACCCCATCTGTTTTGTCATTATTTTACCAGAACCACAATTGTGCTGATTTGGCTAACTAGCGTGTCATGTACAGTAGGTGTTTATAGATGTGTATATTATAATACTGTAACTGTGGTTATTGTGTATATATTGTTGAATACCTGTAGCCTCGTATTAGGTATTGAGATGTAGCCGCGTAGTCTAAAGTTTAGTATAGTGTTGGAGGCAAGCAGTATATATTTACTTTGAATTTTATAGGTGTGTCGACGGGAGACCATCTCTATCCCTTTACTGTAATTGTTGGAAAGCGGTGGTGGCGAGTTCCGATAGGATGGATGTTCGTATGTGTATTTTTCTGTTGCCAAGAGTGCTGAGTGCAGGTCAAAGCACTCTCCAAATCACAGAACTCGTTCTTTTCCCCTTCATTGTCATACTAAAGCACTTAAAAGAGAAATGTGGCAGCCATTGGGGGAATCTTGTACAGTGCTTTGATGAGCTTGGAACCTGGTTCTTTCAGGAAAATTGTGAAAAACGAGGTAAACTTGTTCCTTAATTACCTAACGTAATGCGTATGTACTTTTGTTTAATATGCTGTTGTTAAAAAAAGTAATTAGAATTATATTTGAATCTTAGTAGCTCAGAATTCTAGTCTAAAAATAAAAGCAACTGTATGCAGAAAATAAAAGTGTATACTTTTTACATAAAGAAGATACGTAAAATACTGTAAACTTGGCCCGTGCTGGAGGAGGGCTTGATTAAACCAGACCAAAGTTATGGTTAGCTCATCAAAACAAGAGTATTTCAAACATCGTGAATTTAAAAGTAAAAAGCCATAAACAGCGGCGCCAACAACTTATTCTGTTGTTAGTGGTTTTTAAGTGTTAGGGTGGAACTGGGCGTAAAACACTTGGGTAGCTTAATCGGCTTTCTCGAGTTTGGAGAGAGTGGCCCACCCAAGGAAATGGGAATGCCATGCTCTCTGTTGGAGGAGAATTTGGCTTAAACTCTCAGCACCCGGAAGCAATTTTCGGTTGTTGTCGGAAACGGTTCTACAAGGTTAGGTTTAGGGTTCCTAACTTAATTTTCAAGCCAAAAGCTGTAACTTGAAAAAATACACAAAATGTAGATACCTTAATTTGTTAATGCTTAGTCAACTTAGAAATTAAAGGCGTTTGAAAATGAGAAAAATGAGAGTACAGTTTTTCTGTCTCACAACCGAAAACACTGAAGTAGTTCACACATTTGTTAACTTATATTTATTCCAACTTTATGTAGCAAATTTTATTTACTCGCGTTATTTAGCAAATTTTATTTTCTTTAGTAAATTTTATTTACTTTATTTAGCAAATTTTATTTAATGCGATCCTTTGACAATGTTTCGATCCCAAAGTGGGTGTTATCAAGCGAAACAGATGTTCGATCTATTTGTCGCTTCATAAAGCCTGCTGTATGGGCGAAATGTTGCTAATAAATGATCATAATATTCTGCATTTGTATATCTCTTTCCATTGTGTTGATATATACATTTTCTCAGCATCTGATTATAGCTCTAAATGACGCATATGGGTTTAGCACTTTTTTTCTAAATTGACTATTAATCTTCTAGCTCTCATTAATTCTTGAGCAAGGAGACTAATCAGTGTTGCACCTTCAGTGTTACTTGTGCAGTTTTGAGAGTTTCTTAATTCTGCATAGCCACTACCTAGCCAGACCTCTCAACGAAGCTTTTGATGCAAGTGGGGCGCTTTTGATTCAAGGAATTAGCTTTGTTTTCACCTTAGATCGAAACAGATTGCCTCTCATTCCAAAAACACTATAATTCCTGCGGGTTTAGCACTTCACACTAATACTATTACCACTGATACTATGATTTATGTTTACATAACCCAACCTAAACTAAAATAAGGAAGAGTATTTCAAAGTTTACTGGGAGCGTTTAGAAATTGACGTTCAGATTCTCGTAAGAAAATTATTGAAATGAGGATAGGCTGCACATACTCGCCTTGCAATTAATGTCTCGACTCACGGCTGTCAAACAACTTGTGTAGTATACACCCTTATAATTTATAGTACAGTTTACTACCAACCAGGTTTTCCTGCATATCAGTTTGCGCTACACATTGCCAATAGACACTCAGACACACTTCAGCCATATCATGCCTTTGCATATTGCACAAGACGACTTTCGTAACAATAGTGTATTTGCGGATGCAGGGGCATATTGCTGACAATATTAAAAACAAGACACAGGTGCTGAGAAATTTTTTCTATTGTGAACTGCAATAAAGCTGTTTCTGCACCTTTTTTCCTTAGTGTGGAAGCATCGTGTTGCAGTAATGAGTCGAATTTGCTCATCATGTAGTTTCCGCATTATCAGTGCAGATTCAATTTAGCTTTCTTTTAATCTGATTTTATAATTTTTATGTTATTTAGTTTGACTAGACTTCACATACTTGAGCTTTTGGACTGGTATACTCCGCGTTAACCAGGAGCCGTCACTACCGACGAGCCCTAATAGCGTTGGTATATTGCAACTTTTTAGAATGTGTGTGTGTGTGTGCGTGTGTGTGTGAGGTGTGTAATCAAGACCCTAAAAAAAATATTGGGGTATCCCAGCAGTGGTGTAGCCACAACTTCATGTGTATTACTTTTATAATAAAATAATGTGAATTATATTCGTATTAACCTTTTTTTTTTTTCTTTTTTTTCAGTGGAAGAAAATAAAGGCCACCAGACCGCAGCTACCCTCAACAACGAAATCACGCGTTTTAGTGAGAGCAGTGTCCACAACGAAGATCCTGGGAGACATGGTGTCTCCGTTGGAAAAAATCATCATCTGTCCAACGAGAACAACGAATCCTCGAGCCACGACATCTTTCTCGCCAGTGACGGCGAGTGGGGGAAAAGCAGCGATTGTACCTTGGAGCTGAAGACCATTGTCGTAAGTGTTGGTGATCGCGAATTCCTTCGTAGTAATAGTGATAATGTTAGCCACCGCCGTAGCAAGGAAACTGGAAGCAAGTGCATCGTTATTGAGGGCGAACAAAGTTTTCTTGTGACTGAAAACATTCAGCTGACAAAAAGTGGAAGGGCCAGTAAGAGTCAACACTCAGTGATGAGTCGATCGTTGAATGGTGCTACTAGTCTGTTGAACTCCAGTAGGAAGGGGGTCTCTCTTCCACGAACCATAAAGATAAGCGTGTCTAAAGGGAAAAATGAAATGAAATGCTGTCACAAGTCGCACGAGAGCGAACTAAAAATCATAAATCAAAGGGGGCATAGAACATTTAAAGTGTACACATGCAAGAAGAAGGCGGAGCAGGCGAATTATGACTGGAATAAAAGACGGATTGTCATCTCTACGAAGAAACCCTCAAAAGCAAGTGGCAAGAGGAATGGGAGAGTAACCTACGACAGTTTGGAAACTTGCAGAATGCCAGACTGCAGACTCGAAAGCCCCCAAATTGCAGCAAGAGACGGTGTAACACGACACGTTAAAGGATACGAAGTAACACAGAGGAAATTGAGTGGAAGATCGGCTGTAGGACTACAGTCATACGACAGCAGGAAACAGATAAGTACAACAAATAAGGAAGAATTTGTCATAAGAAGCCTAAGCAACGGCAGAAGAATTGGGAAGACATTCAGAACATACGAGAGATGGGGAAATACTGGAATAAAGCAGTATAAAGGAAAAAAAGACCAAGGCAGTTTAGTAAATGAAATTATGAAAGAAGGTATTAAACTAAGAAAAGAATTCGATAGAGCGAAAAGAAGAAAAGAGACAAAAATGAAAGAAAAAAAACATTTTACAGAAAAGAGAATGGAAAAGCCAAACCATGATAGACTAGTTATGCAGGAAGTGAGGCAGAACAGAGGAACGGATCATTCGTCTGAAGAAGCCTACGAAAAACTAATCGGACAAGTAATAAAGCATAAAAGACGAACGCAGCATTCCCCAAAAACAGCCCTCGATAGACATGAGATTAAAGGAATGAAACAGCCTCACAGAGAACCAGAAGGATTTTTTATGGCAAACATGAAGCGCAGCAGTGAAATCAAAAGGATGCAGAGTCTGACAAACGAAAGAACAGGTATACAACGTGTAAAATATCGTAGAGGAAGTAAAAATACAGGGAAAATAGAGGGGAAATTGGAATTAAAGGGAACTCAACAGGAAAGAGGAAGGAGGGATACGGAAAGGAAAAGCAAAGAGCGAAGAGTGACACAAGGAATAAAACTATGCAAAGGAATTCAAACCACACCAGCTCAAATTAACGAGAGAGAGGTGAGACTATGTATCACAAGTAACAAACCAGTCAGGATGACGCGCACAGTTAGAAACGAAAGAGTTTTAGTCCGAGATGATGATAACGCTGATGGAATAATACCGCTAAAAGTGGAAGGAAGTGGGAACGAAATAGCGATGAAAGGAAGTACAAACAAAACAAGGGTGAATAATAGAAGTAAGTGTAGTGCAAACAATGGGCTAGTGTTGAAAGACAAAGAAACTGAGTGTGAAAGAATAATGAGAAACGAAGACAGCGCTAACGATAGACCAGTAGTGAGAGGCGAGGCTAGTGGGAACAAGACGATTATTGTGAAAGAACTAGACCAAAGTCAGGTCGCCAATAAGAACTGGCCGATCATTATCCCTGGCAAGTGTGAGCAGGGCGTAGTGAGCGGGACTGCCCCCGATGGCACGCCTTACTCCATAAAGCTCAACCTAGCAGGACTTGTCAACGTCAGACCGACCATCGTCATCATCAGCACAGGTAAAGGTAAGTGACATAGCTTTCTTTTCCTTCTCTTGCCATTTTGGGACAGCGATTTGTGTTACAAAGCAGCAGGTTGCTTTATTAAGGCCTGTGAAACATTGAAATACTCATCTCGTATTGAAACCTATGAATTACATTCATTATAGTTACAATAGTTAAACAGAGTACAGGACGACGTCTCGGTCCTCTTGGGACTCATAAAGAGCTTTTCATCCAAGGAACTGGAGTTACTCTTTAAGCTGAAATCTGATTACCCTCCCTACTCTTTCCCATACCTCAGTCACTTTGCGATCCTTACGTTTTTAGCGCTTCCTCACGAATACAGTTACTGTTACCATCTCTCAACCAGAGAGGTGTTATCCCCAAACAGGTTCTCCAATTTTAGCGTGCAGTGTCCTCCGGTTTGCCGTTCGTGCATATGTCTGTCGGTCTCACGTCCGACCAAAATTTAATGTTTTTTTTTCGGTTAGGTTTTTTCGCCGTTTATTTACCTGCATTTATTTGTAATAAAACCATAATGATGAAGTAAAAAAGGTAGGCTTCTCTCGAACGGAATTAAAAGGTTGAGGATGGGTTGCGGCCCAGGTATCCTAGCCATGCCCCCCCTCCCACCCTGGGAGTACTTCTAGTTAGTCCTTATCTGACAAACACATTACATTGGTAAATAAGTTTTACATCCGAACTCCTGCCAAAACGTCAACCAAAATTTGCCGGGCCAGTAACCATGTGGATAAATATCTTGGGCATGCATAGTTGCCCAAGAGCGTGTGATTGCGCGCCAAATCTGATGCCTTCAGCTGACGCATGTGAACTTTTTTGGGTGGGAAGGAGGGTGATGGCGCGGAATGGATATAATTGATAGTGACTAAGCGCGTCGATGGCTGACTTTCCAAGCGAATCTTGTTTGTGTTATTAATTATAAAGTCAACAGTCTAGCCTCAAGGGTAAATATGGAGCGAGGTGCATAAAGCGACAGGGACGGCTGTGATAGTGTTGGCTGTGTAGCCTATCATGAGAGCACATGGGTACGGACCTTGTCTATTTAACGGCATTTTGGAGGAAGCTTTTAACCTGATGGCATTCTGCAATAGGAAAAATGAATTTCTCTTGGATTTCAAATATATTTAATAGTAAAAATATTTTTTGTTAATTAACTGGAGGACTGGATGCTCTTATTGATTATTTTTTTGCTTTCAAAATAATTGTATGGCCATTAAGTCGAATGAGTGATAAGTTGGAAACAAAACACTTTAGCTCACTATCAGCCTGACTTATAATATTAATGCTAGGTACAAGACATAGCTAACTGCTTCTATAACATTGACAAATACCTTTGGAAGTATATTTTCTTGACAGTTCTTGAGACAGTTGTGGGGTTGTGGCTTTGTGTTACAGACTGGCAAATTTGTTCATAAATCTACAATAAGAGCATATTTATAAAGGAAAGATTCATCTGCCATTAAATATTACCTCGTACAAAAGTCTGTACCAAGCTCACATGTGCTCATGTACCAAGTTCACTTGTGTTTATGTAACAAGTGTACTTGTGTGAGTGAGTCGCAAAACTACAGACCGACGCGTTTGCCACTGGGCCACCTGGCCCAGTGGCTAACGCGTCGGTCTGGTGTTCTACGACTCACTTGCCGCGAGTTCAATTCCCACCCGTACCGTGGTTTCACTTATGTGAACTTGGTACTCACATGTGTGTGGACACCTAGCTCACGTGTGTGTACACCTAGCTCACGTGTGTGTACACCTAGCTCACCTGTGTGTACACCTAGCTCAACCGGGTGTGTACACCTAGCTCACCTGTGTGTGCACGCTTGGTTCACCTGTGTGTGTACACCTAGCTCACCTGTGTGTATACACCTAGCTTACCTGTGTATGTACACCTAGCTCACCTGTGTGTGTACACCTAGCTCACCTGTGTGTGTGTACCTAATACACCTGTGTGTGTGTGTGCGCCAATCTCGTGTGCTTGTAACAAGCTTGTCTAGCCTTTTAGATTTTGTAGATACCTTTGTTTCTCAGTTTAAAGTGATTCATGTCTATTAAAGCTCTCAAAAGCGAAGCCTATATAAATTCGGATAAACTTAGCTGGCCGTATATACTTAGTTTATGTATTCAGTCTGAGAGTGATATAAAAAATTAAATAGTAAAATATTGGAAAAAGGTGAGAATGGCACAGATTATCGTCAGTGGTGAATATTTTGAATTACTCTACTTTTTTTTTTAATGTGTCAGACACATAAGCACATATACGTACACGCACGTAAATACACACACATACATACACAGCTCGATAGGCTTATGGTCAGTTACATTCGATGGAATAAAACGAGGATAATTTAATAATTCATATTAGGCGCTAAACCCATGTGGGTCATTCAGCACAAGACGTGGTGGAGGCTTGGTCCTCCGTCTGTGTGAGCGCGAGACAGACGTTCTTCCTATTTCCACTCACCTAGATGTCTAATATAACGAGGAAAGAAAGCTAACTTTTATTCCCACATTGTAACTCGTGCAAAAAATAGTCCCGCATTGCGTGTTTTTCCACCAAATAACTATCATTGAATAGGAAAACTTCATACTGTGGGCGTACACATCATGTATCTTACATAGAAGAGAGTAGCCGCACTCTGCTGGTGTTCCTAGCATATTCTCATATTGAGTAGGGCAGCCCCCACACTGCCGGTGTCCTCACCTTGTAACTCGTTTACAATTAGGGTAGCCGTATACTGCGAGTGTTTCCACCATGAAACTCGTATAGAATAGGGTAGCTGCACACTACGGGTGTTCCCATCATCTTACTTGTATAGAATAGGTAAGCAGCACATTGCATTTTACGAAATCGTTACATATACCCAAACTTTAATTCGATTGAGATGGCTATCCGAAGGTCATTGACACGTAGATGAATGAAGAAGAGACATACTAACACTTGATATTGTAAGTATTGTATACACATTAATATGAAGATACATGTCGTTGACATGTAGTTGGTTGTGGGGATCTCTGCAATCTTTGCAACATGGTCTCGAGGATCTGTAGCGTATATGGGTAAAGAGTCTTACTAAGAATTATCTGGGGTAAATGTAAACGATACTTATAAGGTATGAAAGCCTAAAATGTTGTACTTTAGCTGTAAATAAATTTTTAGTCGCAATTCTTTTATTTCATAATTTGGTCCTTCTCCTGCCGTTGTAGTTGTCGCTGTTCCTCTCCTGTTCTTACGCCTCTTGCTGCTACTTCTTTTCCTGCACCTTTTGTTTCTCCAGCTCTTTCTCTTCCTCCTGTTGCTCTTCGTGTTCTTCCTCCTCCCTCCTACCTTCTCAACCACCCCTTGCAGGCTTCCCCTTCAACTATACCCACAGGCGGCCGTATTCGTATTCCCTGCTTGTCTGGGAGTAAAGTCATTTATCTTATAGGTTGGCTCGTTCAGCCTTCACACAACCTCATACACTCCACCCGATTCTGTCTAAGATTCCTTAAAAAATGCCTAAGTGTTTTTGTTTTAGTGTCTAAATCCCTCTTCTCTCGTCCTCCCTCCTTTTTCTCCCTTTCTCTAATATATATATATATATATATATATATATATATATATATATATATATATATATATATATATATATATATATATATATATTTATATTATATTTTATATTATATTGTGTGTGTGTGTGTGTATCACCAATACCGTCAAAAACCATCACTGCCACTGCTACCAGGAAACCATCACTAGCGCCACCTCCATCACAACCACTACCTCATCTCCCTCCCTCCCTGTCTCTTCGTTACTCTTAAGATGTGGTGTGCATCTGGTGCGTGTGTCTGAAGCTGCTCTCCCCTTGCTAGTGCTCCAGTGATCATCGAGGCTCCAGTCCAGTGAGCGGGGGGCCACTGTTCCCAAAATCTCATCGCCCGCCAAATACCTGTGTCCGCTCATGCATAAAAATGAATATCAAAACGGCGGCCAGGATGGTGACGGAGGCGGTAGGCGATGTGAGAGGGAAGGAGGGGTGAGGTGCTATAGGAGAGGAGGGTGAGAAGGACATTGGGGGGGGTGGAGGGTAAAAAAAAGGGATACGAGAATGGAATGGTGAGATTGTCGGAAGGAAGGAGGCGAAGGAAAGTGATTCAAAAGAATAGCATGGGAGAGTGAGGGAATAAGTGAACGGAATAACATGGGAGAGTGAGAGAATGAGTCAGTGGAATAGCATTTGAGAGTGAAGGAATGAGTCATTGGAATGGCATGGGAAAGTGAGGGAATCAGTAAGCGAAATAGCATGGGGAAATGAGGGAGGGAATGAGTGGAAATAATAAGGGAGCGAGAGTCAAAAGAAGAGCATGAGGGAGGGAATATGGTACGGCAGAGAGGTATGTAGGGTGTGAAAGGAGGGTGTTTGGAAGCCATATTATTATTCTTACAGAAGTGTTGACTTACTCTCGCTCAGATGTTGGGTTCTGTGTTATCTTACTGCTGTGCTATGTTGCTGCTTCTGTGCTGTGTTACTGCTGCTGTGCCAAGTTATCTTGCTGATGCTGTGCTATCTTGCTGCTGTGCTATGTTATCTTGCTGCTGTGCTGTGTTATCTTGCTGTGCTATGTTATCTTACTGCTGCTGTACTATGTTATCTTGCTGCTGTGTTGTTATCTTGCTGCTGTGTCATGTTATCTTGCTGTTGTGCTATGTTATCTTGCTGCTGTTGTGCTATGTTATCTTGCTGCTGTTGTGCTATACTATTTTGCTGCTGTGCTGTGTTATTTTGCTGCAGATGTGCAATGTTATCTTGCTGCTGCTGCTGTGCTTTTTTATCTTGCTGATTTCCTATGTTATCTTGCTGCTGCCTTCCTGTTATTGCTTCTTTCTCCAGTTCTGTTCAGGTTTCTTCTGTCTTGTATTTCGAGGTCCAGCTTTTCCTCACTGCTACTTGGGTTTCTTTTTTTTCTCTGTTTTGTTTACCTCCTTTATTTGCTCTCCTCTAGTGCTATCACCAGCTTTC